ATTTAGCACTGTTACAATGCACTCAAATCACCTTCAGTCTTATAGTACATACTTAAAACAGACAACAGAAATTCACTGGTGTAAATTTAAGAAGAAATTTGGGTCACTCATCTGGCCCAAGTTATATAAGCTGCTAGCATAGCAAAGTTACACATACCTGAAAACTGCTATGTCAATTTTTTGCCAAATTAATTGGCATCACTTTTAGCAGGATTATCCCGACTGGGCAGAAAAAGAGAGATTTCAATAACTGTTCTAGAAACTATCCAAAATATTATAAGCAGTAGTATATCACGATTGCTTGGCTACAAGAAAAGCTATTCAGCATAAGATTAACTCAGAAACCTACTAGGTATCTGACCCTCCCTCATTAAATCTGCTGGTTTACCAACCACTTCCTTTCACTGTAATAAGTTTTCAAGATGAGAACTTTTCATTTCACACAGAAAACTCTATTTGGGTAGTCAGTCACCAAAGATTAGATATGAATCCACTTATATTAAATAATCAGAATAGGCAGAGCTATAGAAAAAGAAAGACATGGCTGCCTAGGGCTGGGGGTGGGTACTGGAAGAAAATAAGAGGCCACTGCTACCGGGTTCAGAGCTCCTTTTGGGGTAATGTAATACCCTAAAAATTTGACTGTGCTCATGGTTGCACAACCTTGTGAATAAAAAAATCATTTAATTGTACCCATTAAAAAGGTGAATTGCAAGCTATGTGAATTGTATCTCAGTAACAATACTACAAAAACACATTAGGAGGGCCGGGGATTTAGCTCAGTGGTTCTGGTACCTGCCTCACAAGCGCAAGGTCCTGAGTTCGATCCCCAGTACCAAAAAACAAAATAAAACAAAACCCCAAAAACACATTAGGAAAGGAAGACAGCCCCAAAAGAGAAGAAAACAAGAAGCTCTCCTGAATCAAATTGTACCTGAGGAAACAATAGACGAGCCTGATAGCAGAGGCTAGTTTTTTTGCACAGTATTTTGACTTCATTATTATCACTATAATCCCTGACTTCATATTTTTAACACATTTCTAACTTATCTTAAGTTACTAACAGATTCTAACTTTGTTCTCTTTAGAGAGCAGAGTCAGTGTTGCACGGCTGGTAAACGAAAACAATAAAAATCCAATGACAAAATAATCTTGTCCTTTGGGGCTGTGCTTTACCAGGCAGGACAGAAGAGCTCGATTCATTTTCTAATTAAAAAATGCCATCAAGTATATGGGCATCATATGACTCCTGCCCAAAGCATAGTTCCTTTTCAAACTGGCATACAGTTATTCCCTTTACACCTATACAATTCAACAAAAGTAATGTTTTTATACCTGCACAATTCAACAAAAGCAATGTTTTCTAAAAAAAATAAACTTGAGCTTCCTGCAGGTTTGGTTTTGTTTTGCTTGGCTCAAAGAGCTAGCCAAATTTCGCTAAGAGTAAAATTACTGTTTCTGAAAAAATTCAACTCTTTATCCTCATCTTCACCTTTAGCACCATACAGGGAAGATGGAAAATGGTAAGCCTGCTATAAATCAGAAGCTAGACAACAATTTCTTCAATGACCTTAGTTTTCTAAACAAATATATTAGTTTCAAATATTTAGAACATATTTGGTCTGATTCCTTTACATCTGCCTTTACGTTAATGAGTTGTTTCTTTTATTTTCACTAATTTACTATCTTAGTATTAAATAGACTAACAAAGACTTTGAATAGGTTAAACTGGCTTAGTCACTTTTCTTCAGTGATTACTATTCTTCTACATAGGCAGGATAATGAAATTACAAATGACTTTTTAGTCATCTTCCACTATTCGTAACACTATATAATCGGGGAAAGTTTTTTCAGCTAACTGAAGAGAACACAAGAAGCTTTAGAGTAAGCTGAGCCTGTTAAATATATTTGCTATGACAGAATTTCTGACATAAAGATTGCTCACTGCAAATGATCTCAGAGAAGTGATCAAACAAGACAGCTGTTAGAAAGCATACGGGAGTGGGGTGGGGTGAGAAGTCATGGATAAATTAAAAACTGGCAAATATCTGTGAAAGAAGAACCACTTTTTAGGGACCATAAGAAAAAGAGAAGTCATCATTTCAGAATTTGAAAAGAACTGAAGACCATTTTACTGTAATTCAGGTTACAAAATGCAATAGCCACACAGTATCTCCAAAAAAAGATTCCTAAAAACTATAGTGCAAAAGAAATGTAGGAAAATAAATAATCACAAAAATCATCATTTTTCATGTGTTCAAAATAGTGACTTTTACAAAAGATGCAAATTTGTTTGAAATGAAAAAAATTCCCTATACGAAAGATCAAAGACCCATTTCACAGATAATGTTTACTTCATTAACAATCTCATTAACAGTGTACAAACAGGGGCATAGATTTTTTTAAATTAGGTCTGAAAGGTCAATATAAATACTGATGGGAGGAGTGTTTCACACCCCAAACTCCAACATTCAGCTCTGTGTCCTGTCCTGTCCTGTCCTGTCCTGTCCTGTCCTGATACTACAATTTGTAAAAATCTCAACGGCGCAGGGAATCGACTTTTCGTAACTTCAGTGATGTGTCAGAGGACAGTGCATCTTGGTTTGAAGAACTTGTTGTATCCGAAGGCCGGAACAGTACACGACCACGATGATTAAATACATAAAAGGATGGGTGATTCCTTAAAGTGTCAAATGTCCTATTTTCAGTTCTGAAGTGGCATCCATGTCTTTAAACTCCCCTGCAATATGAACTATACCATAACAGGTAACTGCAAAGACCAGAACTGTCTGAAGACCTATATCTATTGGCAGTGATTCATCTTCTTTTTCTGTTAATCGCATATAAGAACGACGCTGCGCAGCGGAAAGGGCGGCGTGTGCTAGGGCAAAGAGGCCGATGCCTACTAGCCCCATCCATAGCGATGGCGCCATGATTCGGAAGGAGCAGCAGGCCAACAAAAGAGGGGAAGGGCGGCGGAATGGTTCCCCTTCTACCGGCAGGTGTCCGGGCGGCGCAGAGAGATGACGTTATCGAGTTTTCCTTTTTGATTGTTTTTACTTTCTAAGGCACAATCTTCTACAATCAAAATTTGAATTAAATGAGTAATGTAAATGTGCTGTGTTACCACTGGAAGTTAAGATGAAAATCTTTTAGTCACTGTCAGTTGGCTTGATAAGCAAATATCCATTGGCCTTCTCCTCTGATGCACTCCCATTCTTTGATTCATGGTTTCTAAACCTATGCTTTTCCATTACAGTCTTTGGTTCCTTTTTGTCACCTCCATTCTTTTCCTTTTCATTACCCTTCAAACTTTGAGGCTCATTTTGGTATTCTGAGCATGCACACTTTTTCTGCCTTCTGTAACTCACCCTCCAACAACTATGAGTCATCCAATAAAAAATCTGCTTTTAAAAGTTGGTTGGGAATTTTTAATTCATCCATTTATTTTGCTTTTCAAGTATGTAAAATAACCCCAGGCTCATCCCACGAAGGGTCTTGTGAAATCTCAGTTGACATGACATATATCCTTTCTATCTAAACTCAGTGCCATTTTCTCAGTTACCTCATCTCATTCCTGAGCTTTGAGGACAACCCCTAGCATATTAGGATTGTATTCCTTATTATGGACTGTGGTTTGAAGTTTGAACCTATGAGGTGACAATGTCAAAGCTGGAAATGAGAAGAGGAATTAGTATAGAGAGAGGCCTTGTATAGAGGGTGTGACACTGCTAGATCAGGTAGAAGGGGCCTGGATTTGGGATGTGGTTCTCTCATTCATTCCAACTAAATTTTTTCTTTTAGTTTTATATCCTCATCTGAACCATGATAAGATTGAAGTAGATGGTCTAATTTTTAAAATATTGTAGTGGGTCTCAGAAAAGTTTGTTGAAATCCAATACCAGGAGTATTATATGGTTAAAAAAAAAGATACTACATGAGAGGTCATAGGAGAAAGTAAGTGCTTGATTTGTTATATTTGAAGTTTCATCATAAAGAAATCACTGAACAATGTATTCATGTATTCAAGAGCTAGCATTCGGCTGTAGGCCATCTGTGTGCCTCATAAATGGAGAAGTCTAAACTTTATACAAATGACATGTTATAGTTTATATCTAGATGTTCCCCCAAGGCCTTGTATGCTCATAGGTGGGGCTTTTGAGAGATGATTGGATCATGGGGATATGATGCTCATTAAAGGATTAGTCCACTGTGTTTTTAGCTGTGATGTTAGGAGGTGAAGCTTGGTTGGAGGAGGTGGGTCACTAGGTGTGTGGCCTGGAAAGATTTAATCTCCCTCGGTCCTCCCTTGATCTCTCTCTGCTTTCTGCTGCTATACCATGGGCTGTTTCTCCTCTGTGATGTCCCTTTGCCCTGCCACGCTGCCTTGGAGCCAGTTGACTATGGACTGAAACCTCTACAAACTGTGAGCCAAAATAAATGTTTCCTTAGAGCTGCAGGTGTCCAGCATTGTGTCTCAGTGACAAGAAAAGAAATGAAGATGGGAAACAAGATTTGTGTTTGGAGCATGACAGCATAACTGGGAAAATCTGATTAGGAAATGAGAAAAAAGGATAATAAATTAAATCTTATGGAAATATTTTTATTTTATAACATTTACTAATGGAGATGTGAATTAAAGTGTTGTCTTTTTGCTAAAGCAGAATCAAAACTAGTAATATAGAATTTTCCCCTCACAATTGATGAAATATATTGTTTTTGCAATGATAGATTTTGTTTAGTTTGGGTAAGTTTGGATAAGAATATCTGAATTAAAGAAGCTCTCAAAATAGCCTGGGTTGACTCTTATTTTACATAGACAATATGCCCTCCTGCCCATCCCTGGCTTTACTAGCTCACCAGAGCTCATGGACTGCAGAGTCTCCTCAAAAAATGCCCTCTCCAGTTCTATGTTACTGGTAAATGTCCCTTTGAGTGTTCTGTGAGGCAGCAGTTTTTTTTTCATGAAAACATAAATGTTTTCTTTAACCTTTCTGCACATGGGTGAAACAGACGTTTGAGGAAGCTGATAAGAATGGCGATGGCTTATTGAATATTGAAGAGATACACCAATTGATGCATAAACTAAATGTCAATCTGCCTCGAAGAAAAGTAAGGCAAATGTTTCAGGTATGTTTTTACAATTGCATTTGGCCTTATGTAAAACACACAAAGATTACTGATGTACTTAGGCTATTTTTTGTGTTGGAAGCTAATATTACTGCTCTGTACTATTTTATGTTTCTTTGGTGAAGAGGGCCATTTTGTTTCATCAAAGAAAAAAATTCATAAACTAAATATGCACTCACAATTTTATTCTCTTAAATGCCTTTTTTGGATGCTGTGTTCAGAGAGTAATTATAAGCACTTTCCCTGACTCTTAAATAATGGACTACACTGAATCAAGTAAGGCCCTTGGAGATGACAAAAATATCTCACCTGCCTACCTCACAGGACTGTTGTGAGGATCAGAATAAAACCAGGTACCATGGGGAGAAAGCATTTGTCTAAGGCCTCAAGAACTCTCTTTTTTGTGAAGAGTTTAAGAATTGAAATCCATGAAACTTGGAAGTGCTAAGCACTCCTACCAATTAATGAGCTCACCAAATGTTCATTCACTGCTTTTTGGTGTTGGACAAGATGGTCTTTCCCTGTTGGTAAGTTTCTGAGGCAAGTCCTCTGATTGGAACTTATTCTGTCATCTATCTGGGACTGTATTTAGTCCTTAATTTAAGGTACAGAAGTGAGCTTCATTAAGTCAGTGTAATAACAATGTTATACTCTTACTGATGAGCTAGAATATTAATTTTCAAGAGGCAGTTATTTGGAGATAAATCATAAGTATGGTCCATGATTTGCAATGAGTTTCTACTAAGTGATCAGGTAGGTGATATTTTGTGCAAGTAAAAGTAAGCATTAAGAAGGAAATGTGTTGCTTTGAGTTTGATGTTTCCATTGTTTTCTAGCTACTTGTTCTTACAGAGGGTGAGGACAGAAAAGATAAGGGGAATGAGTTGCAACAATGCATGGAAGACAATCTGGCTCCCGCCCAAGTTCCCTTGATGTGGTCATGTATGAGGGAAGCTAGAGATGGTGCACATTGTGGCGAGCTTGGTCCCATTGCACTGGAAAACCACACGAGGGAAAGGAATGAGGAAGGAGTGAGATGTGCTGAGTACGGAACACCAGAGATGGAGTATGGACTTTGGAAGGGAAATAAGTTGTCACAAATAAAGTGAAATATCTGCAAACTACATGAAAAGTTTTGTCATGTTCCCGGCGTTCCCTTTGAGATCTCACTCTTGCCTGGTCATGATCCCCACCTCTCCATCTGTTCCTTTTGTATTGGTGGTCAAGAATACTGAAGAGGTAGCTGCTGATTCAATCTGAGAGGCCACACTTAAAGAGGAGGGCAAAATCTATACCTATAGAAATTATAATTTTTTGGTACTTTATGGCAGTAAGTTAAGGAAATAACAAGATGTTGAATTATTTTTACTTTAATGTTTTTTCCTTAAGATATTTACCTCTAATGTAACAAAGCATTTTAGAGGGTAAACGAGAGAATCCTTATGTTCAATATCTTATGAAAAAAATAGTCTCTTTTAAATCTTAGGTTAAAAATTTATCAAACCAGAAGAGACTGGGGAGGTGGTTGTACCTGCTGTGTGTAGAATGTTTCCATGATGGGCCTTATACCCAGCAGGGGTCTGCAAAAGCTCCTGGTGGGAGTGATTGGGGGATCCCTTATCTGAAGTGTACAAGATTGGAAGACTTTGGACTTCCGATTTTTTTTTCAGATTTTGGAATATTTATCTATGTGTAATAAGATATTTTATAGATAGGGATCAAGTTTAAACACCAAATTCACTTATGAGGTGTGATCAAAATATACATTAAATATTTAAATAAAAGGTTTATTACAGTAGAAGACACATTGTAATTAATCCTCCTCAAAATACTCTCCCTTGCTTCAGGCACACTTATCCTGTTGTTCTGCCACTTTCTGAAGCAGTTCTGAAAGTCCTCTTTCTAAGGTGTCTTTAGGGGTGTGGTAAAAAGTATAGTGAATGCTGCTGCCGGGTGCCATCCAATGGAAAAGCAGATTCCTAAAAATAAAGTGTTTCATCTACCTTTTTCACTGGATCTTGTACTACATAACTTCTGACTCTTCCCAAAAGTCAAAATGACCATGAAAGCTAAAATTTTGAATTGATTCAGGACATCAAGGCAACCAGGATAGCACCACTAAAGATATACACCAGGACTTCTAGCACTGTGTCAGAAAGTGGCAAGAATGATGGGATAAGTGTGATCAAAGTGAGGGGGATTAAAGGCAATGTGTCTTTTAGTATAATAAGTTAAAAAAGAATCATATTTTTGAGCATACCTCATATGTTTCGTGTACATTTTTACACATAACCTGAAGGTAATTTTATATATTTTTAATGCACCTGTGTTTTAACCACAGTTTTTCTTATGAGATTAGGTAATTCCATTTATGATATCAAAAAATTTTGGACTTTGGAACATTTTGGATTTCAAAGTTTTGGATTAGGGATGATGGCCCTATATTGTTTCAGGAATATTCTCCTTTTTTTTTTTTAAACTATATTTCTGGCAAAGACACTGAAAACTACAATTTTATTTTTTTCTGTTGCAGTAGAAGTGATTTTTTAAAAAGTAATCTTTCAAAGTATGGATTGCTTCTTTTGAAGTTTTTAGATGTTGTTTAAACCTTAGAGTTTTACTATTTATTGATTAGACATTTACATGAAAGTCTTGAAAAATGTTTTTTTTAATCTCTGTATCAAGGATTAAATATTTTGGCACAAAGTTATGACAAGAATATGAACAATAGACTCAATTTCTTAGGATGCAAAGACTTTCCACCTTGGAGCCTCACACATCAAAAATACTGATAATTCTTATAGTCCAGTCTACCCCTTCCTTTAAGATGACAGAATGCAAGAATGATCAGGCTCACATAAAATTGCATAAGTTTTATTTATTTTTTTTATTTTTTTATTTTTTTTGGTACCAGGGATCGAACTTGAGACCTTGCACTTGTGAGGCAGGCGCCGGAACCACTGAGCTAAATCTCTGGCCCTAAGTTTTAAATATTGATTAGTGTTGGCTCATAATTGACCCAAAGTTAACAAAGTTTTAAGAATTTTATAAGCATTTTGACTTTCAAATTTTGTTTAAAACCATATAACAGCTGAGCGTATTTCACAAAATCCATGCATTTCAAAATGCCATCCATTGCCTTTTAGTTTTTGCTTATTTACAACTGTGTTCACTTTGAATGAAGATTATGTAACTGAATGAAGATTATGTTGTGTCTCCAATAGTTTGATGACAAATTCAGCCAATTAGAAGTAAGATACATGGTAGAAGTTTCTTACTCAATAATTATTAGCAACAAATAATTTATATTGAGCATCAATCCAGGTGGATTGTTCTGACTTTTCCATGGATGGATAAAAAGGAAGTACTACCGATGGGATGGCTATAAAAGCATCAGAGTCACCTGTGGAGAATCAGATTCTCTTATAGGAAAAATTAAATCTGATTGGATTACACTTCAGAGACTGGTGTTTTTGTCATGCCTTAAATACATTATCTCTTTTCTTGATTAGTCTTGTCTAAGATTTCTACCTTATCATTAATTTCTTCAAAAATCTGCTTTTGATTTTGCTTACCTTTGTGTTATATCTGTTTTCTATCTCATTGCTTTCTGTTTTTGTTTATAATGTATTTCATGCTTTCTTTGTTTTAAAACTTTGTAGCATTTTGAGTCGAATTATTCACTATTTTTAATATACTCTGCCTTCTAATAAATTTGACTTCCAGTTTTTTTTAATTTACTACTTTTTTTTTGGTACCAGGGATTGAACTCAGGACTTTGTGCTTGCAAGGCAGGTGTGGTGCCACTGAGCTAAATCCCTGGTCCTTTAATTTACTATTTTATTGTATAAGTTTTTGTGTGTGTGTGAAGCTGAGGATTGAACCCAGAGTCACTGTAAAAGTTTTAATATGGATTATTTTTACTTTTGTGTTTTATTTTCTGTTTAGAAATGCATTATATTGCTTCCATAATTTTTTAAAAGCTTTCTCTGTTGATTTATAAATTTACTGTGGTTAGAGAAATTTGTTTGTATAAGGTTGCCTTTTGTTTTAATAATTTGTTAAGGACTGGAGTTGTAGCTCAGGGGTGCCACACCTGCCTGGCAAGCGCAAGGTCCTGAATTCAATTTCTGATACCCCCCCCCATAATAATTTGTTAAAACTTTCTTGTGGCTTAATACATAAGAATTTTTTATAATGTTCTCTGTGTATTTAAAAAGAATGTGTTCACCATTTGTGATTTGGGTATTAGCCCTTTTACAGTAAATATTATGTTCTTAGACTGAATTATGTGCTGTTTTGAACTCTCATAGTGCCTTTCCCCCCATATTCCCTTATCAGGAAGCTGACACAGATGAGAATCAGGGAACTTTGACCTTTGAAGAGTTCTGTGTTTTTTACAAAATGATGTCCTTGAGAAGAGACCTCTATTTGTTGCTCTTGAGCTACAGTGACAAGAAAGACCACCTAACCATGGACGAACTGGCTCAGTTTTTGAAGGTTGAACAAAAGGTATCATTAGATCACTAAACTGAATGTTTACTTAAAATTCTAGTGAGAGATAGATAACTGGCTGTCTTTTGGAGTTAGATGTAGGTGTGTCTTAAATCTAGGAGAAAGGAATTGCTATCACAAGTCCACAAAAATCTTATCTGAATCATCATTTAAAACATATTTCAAACAGAGGAAATGATAAATTGAATACTGGCTTTTACAGTTCTTTACCTTAAATATATTGAGTATGGATATACATATTTTTCCACAAAGACATGAATGTTAACTAATGTATTTCATTTTGGATACAATGGTAATGTTTTCTTTGTACTAACTCAGTGAAGTCTTAATAATAGTGTAAATTTGTACTTTATTTCTACAAGTATGAATTAATATTAATAAAATGTAAATTCATATGCTAGTAATATGGCTAGTTATTTAACTATGATACAATTATTAACTGACATTATAGTAGATTATTGATAATTCTGATGGAAGTTGGTGTTTGATCTTGTCTTTTTTTTGGTACCCGGGATTGAACTTGGGACCTTGCACTTGCGAGGCAGGTGCCAGAACCACTGAGATAAATCCCCAGCCCAGTGTTTGATCTTGTAAATGGCTAATAAATTAGATCCTGAACTTTCTTGATCCAAATCGTACAAGCAACAACTATACCACTGTTAAAAATAGAAAAGAATTCAGCAATAATAACAAAGAGCCAACTAAATAACTAAAAAGTAACAAAGTTTAATAATGAAAATGGATGGAATGGGGGAAGGGGAAAATGAAGGAAATAAAATTTGGAAAAGAAAGTAAAGGAAATTAAAAGGAGGAGAGAAGTGAGATAAATTGGAGTAAAGAATTAAAGAAAATTACTTAGAATTAGATAAAAGTAACAAGACAAACGTGAAAAAGAAAAATAATAATAAAAAAATAGAATCAAAGAGCAAAAGATGAGGGCGGGGAGAAACAAACAAACAAAAATCCCCCAAAAACAAAGAAAAAGAAAAATGATTCCAAAAAATTTCTCTGTGTTTTGGTGAGTGGTTTCTTTCCAGGGCCTGTGATATTGCAATCCACTAGATGTAGGTGGGGGATAATGAGTTACAACTATGTCTTATGTCATTTGCATGCCCGCTTTTTGCTGTATGAATGCTGAGTCCTGCCCTGCCATTCTCACTGGTTGTGGTCAGTTAATGGTGTGTTACCTGTCTTAGGGCTACAGTCACTCCAACAGCTCTTAAGTGTTTGTGCCTTTCTGTGCACCCCAAGTCACTGCTATCTCTGACTAGCTTTATGGCCTGTGGGCTTGTGAGGTGCCTTTCTCCAGAGGTCCCTTTGTCCCTTCACCCCACGATATGGCAAATTCCTAAGTCAAGTCATATCCCTGATCATGTTGGCAGATGGGAGAAGCAAAAAGACCAGAGCTTTGTGCTGGAAGTAGGCAGTGAAGGGGGCCAAACAGTCTGCTGTATCTAATGTCAGCACTTTCAGACCCTCCTTTCTCAAAGAACCACATGACCAACCTGGCTTCTTAGCACTCTGTCCTTCACCACTTGAGCTTGCTGCTGCTCAGTGTTCGAGTTTAATTGCAGCGTTGGCACTTTGAAATAAATAAGTGAGTTTTGGGTTGCAGTGTGGGTACTTGATTTCTAAAAGGTTCAGTCACTGTCGTAGACCATTAAGGATAGAAAAAAAAACAACTAACCAATAGAAAAACAGGCAAAACATTTCAAATGTAAAGTATTTATAATAGGTCGGTGAACTCATAAGTATTTACCCTTTACTAATAATTAAAAATATGAAATAAAATCAAGAGACCATTTTTAATGCATTTTTTAATGATGGGTATTGCAGTAATTCAGTATCTTCTGAGGGAATATGATTGGTGTCGAAACTAGAGTATTCAATTTTTACAGGTATACTCAGTTGTAAAATGAAAAATCACTGCTGGTCACATATGCTGTCAAGAATTATGTGAAATCAAATATTGGCCCATGAGTAGATTTTTATTTTGCCAAAGCTCTCTAAAAATTGAATTTATGCCTTTGATAGGTCCAGTTGATAGTTGGACTTTCATTCTTAAATGTGGATGCACTGAGAGAAATTCTCCCAGTTAAACAAGAAGCCAGCTGACTGAAGTTTCTCATTCATCTCTTCCTTGCCTTAACAAAGATCATGGGTATCCACTAGTCTGCGATTCCAAACTTTTAGGGATGTTAAAGTGCTTTTTGTTTGTTTGCCTCCCCCCATATTTTCCAAACAACTACCTATGTCTTCAGACATAAGTATATGCATATCTTGGCTCTAGCCTGAGTGTTTTTTATGTTTAAATTCTATTTAGAGTGTAGGTTCTGGAATGATAATTTAATTTTATTTCTCTATCCTTCTTTCTAACCCCTTTTAGCAACACTTTGTCCTCTTTTTACCCTTTTCTTTCTTATGGATTGAGGAGGAAGGAAGAAAATGCAGGAATGCTGAAGGATCCTTATAGTTTGAAAAGCTTCCTACCTGTTAACAAAGAGCAAAGCCTACCTGCATGAAAAAAGATTTGGTAGCTTTTATTGGGAATATGCACATGGATGGTTAATTCTAAGGGGAATTTCAGAGCTTTTCTATTTTGAAGACCCTATCCATATTTTAATTTTACCCAACATAGATCTCTGAATTCCTTTTGTAAAAAGTTTTACCTCTTCAACTTCTTTATTCTTTCTGATAAAATATGCCTTTTATTGTTCTGATCCAATCATATATGTCATTTGTGTCCTCTTTCTTCATTACCCTTCACTGAATCCAGAATAGATTTTAATAAGTTCTTTTTTTTTTTTTTTTGGTACCGGGGATCGAACTCAGGACCCTGTGCTTGGGAGGCCAGCGCCAGAATCAAACTGAGCTAAATCCCCGGCCCTCAGAATAGATTTTAAGAGTCATGGTCATTGCAATCTTTCTCTCGTAAGAAATAATTAGCAACATTTCTTTGATTATGAACTACCTGTTTCTGGTGCTTGTGCACCTTTATCTGTTTTTTTTTTTTTTTTTTAGCATTTCCTCATTATAGAAGCATTCTTGTAAGACCCTTTCCTGAATTTCTATGTCCTTTTTCTAGTTCACAGTTAAGGCAGTTGAGAGACCTTTCAGAGTGGTTATATCTTGTAATATTTTTTGTTGTCCTAAATGACATTTTATATAAAATAAGTCATATGTTCAAATGCTGTTAAAATTTGTGTTTTAATTTTAGGATGAATTAGAGGCTATTACTTTGGCAACATAACTCATAACTGTAGTTCTCTTGTTCTGTTGAAAATACAATGATCATTCATTAGCAATATTTCTTTACTCTCTCATGAAATTATCCAAAAATACAGTAAAATCCACAGGGACAAAAGAAAAAGAGAGAGGAGTAGCAATGTCTTGACACTTGTCTGGCCTAAAGAAGACCCAGAATTAAAGTTACATTATATTTCAGGAAACAGGAGTGGAAGAGGGGTTGACATTACAAGTAGTGGTTAAAAGTCTGTTTAGGATATGGTTAGGACTATGGATCTTCTCCCCTACCCTGTGCAGCAGGGCAACTGTGGCCCCTGTACACTAGTATATGAAGAGTTGGAGATGGACTGGCCAGTGGGCCTGGACTAAGGGAAGCTATGGGTAGCTGAGTGTGGGTACTGAAAACATAGGAATTCTGATGATAGCTACAATAACTCTGTATCCCTATATATATATCCCTTTGCAACGTGACTTCACCTCTCTTCCCATCCCGAAGTAGAATTTACATCTGCATAGTGACTTGCTTTGTCTCATAAATTGTGATGGAAATGATGTACAGTCTCAGGGCGCTTTGAAGATTCACTTTCATTCTGTTGGAACTGTGGGATTATCATATGAGGAAACCAGGGTAATTTTTTTGAGAATGAGAGACCACATAGAAAGAAGAGGCCCAACCAGCACCCAACATCACCCATAGCATGTAGGTGAGGCCAATAGACCATCCAGCTGTAGTCAAGTAACCATCTATAACCAAATGACCTGTAGTTATATGAACAACTCCAGGTGGGAACGGCAGAATAACTATTCGGCTTAACAGCTCCACTTGTAATTCTGTGCAGTAGTGATCAAGTAAGAATTTGCCATTTTAAGCCTTTAAATTATGGAGTGATTTGTTTCATGGAACACAGTGATGTCATGAAGAGCTTGCTATCATAATTTTCCATGATAGCCCACACTGCATTTCCTAGATGCAGCATGTAGCTGTATTTTTGCTTTTATTCTTTTTTTCTCTTTACTTGCCCCAATCTCACTCTCAGAGCCAATTTCTCCCTCACTCTTCACTTTTCTTCACATGAATAAACTTTGTCACTGTTAAAAAAAAAAAACAGAAAATTACTGGGGATTTAGCTCAGTGGTGCCGTGCCTGCCTTGCAAGTGCAAGGTCCTGCGCTTGATCCCCAGTACAAAAAAAAGGAAAGAAATAAAATTAATACAAAGACCAAATGAACATCTGTGCACTGAAGTATGAGAACCATTGCTCTCTTACAATACTGAGCTCCCAGGTTTATCTTCACTAGTAGGAAATTGGAAAATTTTTCTTAGGAAAATATTACCAGCTATAATAGATTGAATAGTGGCTCTAAAAGATATATCTAAGTGCTAAATTCCGGTACCTGTGAACTAGGAAATATGACCTTCATAGAAGAAATTAAGCCAATGATATTGATCATCTTGAATTTAGGGTAGGCCCTAAATCTAATGATGCGTATTCTTTTTTTTTAAAGTCATTTATTTATTTTTTTGGTACCGGGGATCGAACTTGGGACCTTGCACTTGCGAGGCAGGCGGGGGAACCACTGAGCTAAATCCCCAGCCCATGATGCGTATTCTTAAGGGAGATAGAAAAAGAAGAAATAGCTGGGGATTTAGCTCAGTGGTTTTGCCGCCCCCTGCGCAAGTGCAAGGACCCAAGTTCGACCTCCGGTACCAAAAAAAAAAAAAAAAAGGAAGGAGAAGAAACAGACATATAT